AAAAAAAAAAATAAAAATAAATAATTAATTAATTAATTATTAAAAATCATTTCTTTATATTCGAAGCACATACCGTTTCAAATGATCACATATATGTCATAATGCTGGCAGAATATGAAAGTTTAATTGATAACGATCTGAACGAATGATTGAAAAAAGTCTACTACTGACACTGCATATATATATATATATATCTAACAAAACACAAATATAGTTAAAACCAAAATGAAAATCAAAGATGGTAGTGAACGTAAACACAATTGAAAATGAAATTGAAATTGGAATTCAAATGTGAATGTGAATGCATTTGATTCGATGACCATTTTTGAAAATATTGTTATTTACAAGCAGAGAAGTTTAAAATCAAATGCATATAAATGAATATTCTTGTAAAATTATATAAAAACCGATAGCAATAGTTAAGCAATCGTTAGAATTATAACAAAAATTAAAGGGAATAATTCCAAGTGTACGTAGCAGATCGTAAACGGATTCATAAATCATGAAAATTGTAAGTTAAATTAAGTTTTTATTACTCTAACGATTAAATTAAAAAAAAATAGATGTGAATAGAAAATTTTCAAAAATTCTTCTTCTCTTAGGTTTTGTTATTTGTCTTGGCCGTTATAATTGGTGCAACTTCAGCCGCCGTTATAACTACGCCAGTTGCTACCACATACGGTGTACCGGTGGTATCTACAGTTCCCACTTACACGTACAATACATGGGGAACATATCCATATTATCGTTATAGTCATCCCTACACATACAGCTATAGTTACCCTTACAATTACGGCTACGGTTATCCCTATGGATATGGTGGTTACCCCTATGGATATGGTGGTTACACTTACGCCTACGCTAAAAAATGAACAATTTATTATTAATTAATGACAGACAAGTTGCTAGAATGCTTTGATATGATTTTCAATAAAACGAATAACAAATACGAAAAAGCGCTTAATTTAATTTTTTGTTATGCACTTACTTACATACGCACTACCTTTACTAAAGTTAACCTTGACATCATTTCGAAGTTTCCCTTATTTGCTTAACGGACCCTCAGTAAAAACCTAAATAAAGAAGCGAAAAAAAAAAAACAACTTATTTAATGAGCGACAACAACACAATAACAATAATAACAACAACAAAAATGTTTATGCACATTATAAATGCTACACTGCAACGCATAGGTTTTTTTTTAATTATGTGTCAGTAAAATATGTTATAGGCAAAGACAACAACGGTACCGGCAGAATATATTACGTGATTTTCAACTGGAAATTAAATTTTGTTATCGTATATTAGTTTTACTATTCCGCTTGTAAAGCTAGCGGCTGGACTTCAATAATCTGAGATCATAAATTTATCTCCCATCTATCTGTCCATCTATCAGTACGTCCGTTCATGATTGATGATATTGAAAATTAAATCTATTCTTAGTTCCGTAGCGCATAGATCTGCCTTTAAATTTTCTTTAGTAATTAAAGAACAAGCATTACCACTACCCTACTGTTTTTCATATAACGAGTTTTTAAAACAACATGTTATATGAGAAGTAGTCGAAAAATGATCCAATCCGAATCATTTTCGATAGTCTTCCTCCTTGGGCCAAAACACGTAAGAATAGCGGCCTTTAGGTTGAATGTAAGAAAACAAGATAGGTAAAAATAGGCAGATGAACAGACAAGGTGAAATTGATTCAGAAAACGATTTTGAATCGATCGTTATAATTGAAAGTGAGTCTGCCTTAAGATCTTCTGGAAGTTGCATGCATCCGCGAAAACTTAACATACCCTTGCACTACAAGTGGCGTAAAGTATAAAAAAAAAAAACAAAATCGATGAATTTTTCTCTCAATAACCAATACCGTCGACTAGATATTGGTCTAAGACTCTACTATTGAAATTTCATGGAAAATCCGAAGTCTATTTCTGGATGTGACCAACGAAATGCTTAACTTAGTGTATCTTCAATTTTCTATATTGCGGATAAAAAATGAAAATTTTACTTATTTTCTCAAAATTATACGAATATATCTTTATTTCTATATACCGGAGATTCGTAAGCAGACTTTCCATTTATCTGTTTAATAATACTTTCTATACCCATCATCGAAGGACGATTCTTGGCCAACAGCAAATTCTCCGTTAATCCGTTTGTAGAAGATATTTTCATTTTTGCGACCGGGAGAATGCTTACCACATATACTAATTGAGCCCACGGGCGAATGAATAGACGAGCAGACGGACATGCTTAGAAGTATTCTGAAATTTGAAAGTGGCCAAGAACTTATATACTTTATGGGATTTTTGAAGCTTGCTTCTGAGGAAAAAAATTACATTTTTTGTATTCTATAATATTGGGTAGGACGTGGTTAACTTTATCGATTTGTGCAGACCTATAAAACAAGTCTTAAGTTTTTATAGGCTTATCTGCTGTAGTTTGTTAACAGTAATTAGCAAAAAAAAAACACAGGTACTCTCATTTAATGTGGTACTGTAGGTGTGTCTTTCAACCGATCTGGCCCATTTTCAATATCGATTTGTATGCACGAGCTGCCAATGCTTCTGACAAATGTAAAGCTTGTTGCCGGAATTTTTGCGACCAAGAGAATTTTTAACGCAGACAGACAGGCAGGCACACGGGCAAATTGATATGCTTAAAGCGGTTGAGAATTCGATGCTATTCCGGATTCCATATTCTTCTGTAGTCTCGCAGATTTCCTTTTCTTCGCTACAAATGAATGATCGTGATCTCGTCGTCCGATGATGGGTGTAAGGAGAATTCTCCCGATCCAACAATCATAACATCATTTTTCGTTAAGGAGTTGCCTTGATGGAAGACTCAACATTTTCGATCATCTTCAAGAATATCCTTAAGATAAATCAATTGGATGAAATTTGATTAAAAGATAAATCGTTCGTTAATTTAAGTCAAGTTCATGAACTGCATTTAGATTTGACTTTTATAAAAAAAAGGAAAAAAAAACTGAAAAATTTCAATCGACATGAAAATGTAAGTAATTTATACGGATTCTTTTTTACGCTTTGAAGTTAACTGTTAAACTTCAAATCAATGTTAACCGCAGTCCAATTTTTTATAAAAAAAAAACAACAACAAAAAGACTTAAAAATGAATGAAGACGTGCTCCGCATTTCTAAATACAAAAAAGAAAAAAAAAACAAACATTAAATCAAATTCAATTCGAACTAAACGGCCATTAACGGCTTTAAAATTGCCATACAATCGCATAAAATACAAGTATTTTCAACAGTGTATCTAAGGTCAGTTCGAAATAGATTTCTGTTCAGTTTTGTCCGTATAAAAGCGCAAGCCCGTGGTGAAAAAATCAACAAACTTTAATAACAATTTAAAGAATCAACATAGCCATCCATTCATCCATCCGTCAAAGATAATCATCACACTAAACAAAATGTTCAAATACGTAAGTTTCACGTTAGGCAAGGATAGCCGACTGTAATATACATTGAAATTCTTTTAGGCGGCTGTCCTTTTCGCTACACTTGCTTGTGCTCTTGCCAAGCCTGGTTTGCTGAGCGCTCCATTGGCTTATACGGCGCCTGCCGCCGCTGTTTTTGCGGCTTCTTCCCCCGTGGTGACGGCAACCAGCAGTCAGGTAGTGGCTCGTAATTTTAATGGAATAGCTACAGCTCCGATTATTGCTCCTGTTGCTCCTGTGGCTCCAGTCGCGCCCCTCGCCGCCCCTATTGCAGCTGCGTATACTTCTCCTATCGCCACTCCTATTTACACAACCAAATATGCTACTTCGTATCCGGCGCCTTTAGTGGCTAGGCATGCCGCCTTACCCTATGCATATAGAACAGTTCCTGCTTACACAGCTCCCGTAGCCGCCAGGCTTGTAGCTAGTCCATACAGCGCCAGCGCAACCGCCGCCCGTTTAACGTACGCACCCTATTTTACTTCTTCCTATGTGTTATAAAATTCCCTTACCAGCCATAAAGACTTAGTATATAGTTTTCCCGCAATTAGTTGAATTAATTAATGTACTTTACATATACATAAATAAAAACGAAAAATTGCCAAAAAAAAAAAAAAAAAATATTTAAATAAATAAATAAGAAATTTATTTTCGCATTTCAAGTAAATGCAAAAAAATGTAAAGGCTTTGCGCCGCTTTAATATGTACGAATAGGTTAACCGGATCCATTGAGTGGACGACGTCAACACCATCCTGCTGCACATTAATTATTAGGTAAGAAACAAATAAAAAGCTTATAGTGGGCCACGGTATAACATTAAATATACTGCACCGCTCCCAAATTACAGGGAAGTGATCCGATCCGAAACTAACGAAAGACTCTTTCTCTAAGCATTGCTTTATCCGAACAGTCAGACTGTTACTGAGCAAATTATTTCAAGAAAAACCAATGGAATACAATGCCAGCCTAAGGCAACAACATTACTCCTTTGATTTGCACAGGATTGACTTTAAAGTTTATGTTATGTCGATCTTCCTTGAAGTCTCGTAGAGCCGTGGAGTAAAAATCTCCTCACAATATCTCCCCCGTTCAAATTCAGAGCGGCAGTATTTCTTACCGCACAAACTGATTACCCGCACATGCAAATATTTTGAAAAAATAACCAATGGATTAGGATACCAAGATAAAGCAATCTTTGCTTTTGTCCACCCAATTGAAGACTACTCTAAAGTTCGTCCGATTTCTATCTTGCTTCAGCCTCACGCTGTGATTATATGTTTCATCAAATACATCAAATTACCCTTAACACCTTTACACCTTTAATCGCTTCATTGAATATGCTTTCTTTGACAATACTACCAAAGGTGAGGAACAGAATCTTGTCCATTGTATCCGCAGAATGTTCTCGATAAGATTCCGCTTTTTTGTTTCCTTGTTTCAATTATGTTTTGTCATTTTTTATATCCACTCCCGAGGGACGAAGTTAAATTCATTTTGTCCAAAACGTTTGCAATATTTAGAAGCACGCTTTGGGCGACACTATAGAGTACACACAGCTTCTTGCTCAATCTGTCCGTCTGTACGTGCGTATAATGCCTATGGAAAATATTCCCTTAGCCGCAAAAATGAAGTTATCAGATTCGGCAGACACATTGAAAGGTCTTGCAAGCAGGTTGGCTTTAAAAATTGGACACAATATAATCGAAGCCGCGTTTAGTTTTCGAAAACAGAAACAAAGAGATGGGTTTTTGCTCATTTTTTATAAATTCCATTAATTATTATAAAAAAAAAGTTGGCTCGTATATTCTATCCAAAGTACTATTGCATTTGTGCAAAAATGGGAAAATTCGATTACACCCATCCAGTATTACAAAATATCGGATTCTTTTCTTACTTTTCTTTAAGGCAAGGCTGTTTGTTAAGAAATATTCAGAGACAGCCGAATATGATTTTCTTACTTATATATTTACATCAGACGGAAAATGCCCGAGGCCCGTCATATTGCAAGTATAACTTTTAGTACTGTTTACTCCAAGACTGAATATATATATATATATATATATATTAATCATATGTCTCAAAATTTCTTAAAATTTTTATGCCCTACATCACTTAGGGTGCAGACGTATATGATACCCAAAAAGGCTATAAGTGGACCCGCCGTTTATCGATTCTTAATCGATCTTAAGTTTAAACGGTCAGTCTGTCCAGCTAACTCGCCGTCCGTCCGATCTAAGTCCACGTATTTTTGTGTTCAACCTGTAATTGCTGTAATTTTCGAAACATTTCGACGAAAATTAGCAAACTGATATGCTTTGACACAAGGACGAACGCTAGTAAAAATGCTTCGGAACGATTAAACATTCTTGACCACTTTTCAAACTAAGGAAGAAAATTTCAACTTTTAAAATTTCTTGATAAAAGTCAATGATTAACAGTATGTCGACGTTCTGAACGACGTTTATACGAGAAACTTCTGTTCGTCTGGAGCAACTCTCTTACAACCGTTCCAACAAAAACTGAATCTTTATATAGCAAGAAAATCGAATTTTCAAAAGTTCATGGTGAAAATTGGTCCATAACATGAAATTGATAAAGAAATCAACATTGATGAATTTGGGTCACGTAGATCTACTTACTACCGTTTGTAAGGATCCTCAGAATATGTAAACCCATATATGCCCAATAGACCTAATTGACAATGCTTTATGATGGAAATTTGTTTATGCTAGGAATCTGATTTAAAAACTAAGTGGATCAAATTTGAACCACATGGGTCTATTTCTTGGAATCCACTTTATATATAATACTTCTTATGACTCGAAACGGTACCAAGTGTGAATCAAATACATCTACTTTTTCGATCCCTACAATTATACGTGTTATCACGGGAAAAAGTCTAATTTGCAGTTTTTTATAAGGAGAACTAGAAAATATCATATTAAAATTTTTAGGAAGTAAATTAAATTTGGATGACGTCAGTTGATGTTTTGGCCATCCTCCTCCTAGGCGGGCTTTCATGAAAAGTATATATAAACGCTTGAAAATAATGTGTAACTCTGTTGGTGTATTATTGCCAAAACGAATTATTAACTGTATTAGGCGAAGTCGTATAAAGTATCGAATGGTCGGCATTGTCCAATTATAATGTTTTTACGTATTTATAGAAGAGGAGAATAAATTATACCAACTAAGAAGAGAGATTGCTTTAAATAATTAAACTTTTATCTTACCAAGCAGTGACTTTGAGCTATTTTTGAACTTTGAAAGTAAACTTTCACACCATTTCCACAAAAATATATGTATATATATATATATATATGATATTTCATATATAGCTGCTTCGTAAATATATATATATATATATATGCATATAAACAACATCCATTTTAATTATTGTTACAATTATCATAAGTGACTGAGAGTCGCATCATGAAATAATTTTTCAATAGAAAAAATGTCATGCGATTAAGAAAGAAAACTAAATTGATTTCTAAATAGAATTTCTAATAGAATCTAGTATATAATGCCATTTCAATCTTTTTTTGTCTCATAAAAAGAGATATCATCAAGAGATTTACGTGATTACTTAGTCCAACAAGATATTTTGGTGAAAGCCGTCATATCCTATTTTTAACATATAAAATATCCAAGCCAAACGCATCACGGGGCCTTCACAATTAGACAAAGAGTCTTATTATGAAATTTTTGAAATATTTCGATACTAAAATTAATGGCTGTTTCCCATAGCTCTATACCATAAAGATAGACCCATACCAAAGGTTTTAAAAGACACCATTTATATATATTAAAATACATTTATTTTTTAAATTCCTTCGATTCAGATTCTCCTAGCATTTAGCTTTTATATGATTTTTCCATTTAAACTAAAATGTTTTACTCACTATAACTCACGATTAAATGAAAGGGAAAAAACTTTAGGATCAAAAAAGTAAGAAAATTGTATTCGACTGTACACCCGAAACAAATAAAAACACTATAGTGGACCATGGCGCAAAATTAAGTTCGTTGAACCACCGTGCAGTTGCTTTTATAATGACTTTTCAACATAAGACATTATTGGTCATTGGTCTAAAACACTTCAGGACATCAAATTTCATTCAAATATTTAAAAAATTTCACCCCATAAATTGAACACAAGAAAACAGGATGGCCAGAGAGACAGACAAGCTAAAATCGATAAAGAAAGCAATTTTGTAGCGGTCGGTATAACGAAAAGTCAGCCTATCCGAAATCCCTCTAGATACGTTGCATGTCAGATGTAGCACCCGACGCAAATATATCTTGAAGAAGGGTAATCCTGTGCTAGTTAGCCGGGATTGCACGGTTGGTCCAAGGCAAGAGTGAATTTGTTGCGCAAAGTAAGGCTAAACATTTTATACTTTTAAACTCTACGGAGGTCAGGAGCTCTTTATGCGATTTATATCTACGTAGAGGAAATTCTTAGTAATGGAATCTTGTAGTTGTGATAGCAAGTCCTGACTGCTAGGTATGGCCTTTCGTGGAGTATCGTGTTCGCTGTAGTTCTCATCATTCCTAAAGTGCCTAATTGGAGCTAATGATAAGCCTTAACATCCCCCAGAGTGGGTTTATTGAGCCATACGCCTAAATAATAAGTCTGCACTTGAGCATCATCAATTGCGCACTATTAACCCGTGTATGATCGGATGCCATGAGGTGAGATTTTATAACAGGCATCCCTATTAAACCAGAGGAACATACATACATATATGTATGCAAATAGAATAAATCGCATGCGGATGCCTTGAGTACATCTTCGATACAAGGAAATTGGCTAGAATGGGGGGAACTAAAAGGCAGAGTATATGAGTTTCGCTGCGATTTCACTACTAAGAAGAGAAGCCAGACCGACTGCAATATGAAAATCAATAAACTGCGGTTAATTCTATCGAACGCCTAACTAAAAATTCCATTCAGTTATCTTATTATATTATTTTTAATTTCAATTAATTTTGCATTAGTTATTACTTAAAAAACTAACGACTGCCCTTGAAATGGTAATTTCTTTCGAATTAATTCGTATTCAAGCCAACACAAAGTTAACCCACTAAAGATATTACCAAATCATGCATCAACTTAGCCAAAACGTCTGGAGGGCATTTTGCCAGTTTTATGAACATTTACTAAAGCAGTAACATTTTTCCTTATTTTTTTTTCTTTAAATGCGCAACTCGTTACTATAAAAGCCCAAGTTGTAGGTCTACTAGCTATCAAATGTTCACGAGAATCGCAATCTAAAGAGAACTTTAAAAAAAAATGAAAAAATCGGTAAGAATTTGTTCGCGTTGTTTTGGGTAAAAATCTGGAATGAAACTTTATTTTTCAGTTTGTAATAATATTCCTTGCCATTTTTGCTTACGCTGCTGGTGAGTCGGGTCATGTTGTAGCTGCACCGGCCGCTGTGGCTGCTGTGGCCCCTGCTCCTTTGACCGCCGCCTACACTTCCCCGCTGGGCGCTACGTATACCGCTCCGTTAACAGCCGCTTATACAGCTCCGTTTGCTGCTGCTTATACCGCTCCCTTGCCGGCTGCTTATGCTGGGCCTTATACTGCGCCTTATGCTGCGCCTTATACTGCGCCTTATGCTGCGCCTTATGCTGCACCTTACGCTGCGCCTTATGCTTCTGCCTATACAGCACCTTTGAATACCGTTTTTTCTAGTCAACGTTTAGATGTCTTCAATCGTTACAGAGCCGCTTTAGTAGCTAGCCCAGCAAAATTACTCGCATCCGCTCCTGCAGCTGCTTATATAGCACCTGCTGCAGCCGGCCGCTTATTATCTCCTGGGTTCGCTGCTCCCCTGGCTCCTGCCCCTCTGGCTGCCGCTCCTTTAAGTGCTATACCTACACGATATGTGGCTCCCGCAGTAGCAGCCCCCGCCAAACTCATTTCGGCACCTGTTTCCGCTCCCATATTGCTTTAAATCGAATCGACTTTATTATTACGTACCGTTTAACATAAGGAAAATGAAAACGTTAAAGATTTTAACAAAAATATAATTTAAAAATAAATATATTTATTCAAAATTGTTTTTATACGACCATGAGCGTGGGGCGTGAATGACACCTCGATTTCGAAACCGATCATCGCGTTCATTAGGCAATGATTAACAGAGCTAAACGGGAAAATTGAATCTCTTCTACAAAAGTGAATGAATGCCTTGCTCCTGTCAATAACAATAAATAATACTTAAAAATACCTTCAAAATAGTAGATAGTATCATAGGGAATTTATGACAAGGGTCATCAAAGCGCCGTTTTAATGATTCGATTAACGCAGTGGAGGTAGCGCTATTAGATAGAAAGATGGCCATTTATCTGTTTAGTTTTGCATTCTTGGTGTAATCGGACAAGAAAAACTATCTTAACTACCTTACCCTACGTTGTCCAATACACTCTTCATATATTTTCGTAATCAAATGCCAAAAAAATTAGAACTTTTTCATGTATAAAGGCATTTATGCCACGAGAGTCCTCTTATGATTAATTGTTTTTAAAAAAAAATTACGTACACAGCGCAAATAGTTTTTATGTCAAATTACATAATTTCATCATAAGATATTATGGATTGTAGCTTTTTGCCATTTAAAGGCTTACTTTTCATTTCAACCCTCATATGGGTTTGTAAACTCAAAACAAAAAAGGTCTACGTGGTCCAAATTCGATAAGGTTAATTTTTATGTCACGTTATTATTATGAATGAATTTTCATCAAGAAATGTTCCAAATTAGGACTTTTTTAGTTTCCGTAGGATCGGGTATATCGCGAGGAGTTCAAAAGATCACCCCACCCGAATCAAACTTTTCACATCACATTAGAATGCCGAAATACTATTATTTCTTATCAAAAAAGGCGAATCATTTTCAATAGTGTTCGTTCTTGAGTCAAAGCACTTCAGTGGTCCAAATTTGGCTTAGTCCAAAAAGGCTTGCTATGCATAAACACGTCAGTATGCTGAGAAGCTTTCAAAAATTTTGCCCATTGTTTCCTTGTGGGGGTGTACGGCATAAAAACCGCTAAAAGCACAAATGATCAAATCTCTTTTATAATTCTAATGTCCCGATACTTCGTACACATTATACACAAAATAAGCATTTAAGTGAATCCACAAGAAGCGTATATATATTCATATTTCATATTTCTCGTTTGAATCCAGAGACTTTAGCATTGACACTTACCGCACACATATGCACATTCACGATTAAGAATTTCACTAAACACTAAATGTAATTTTCATTATATTTTTATCTGGCAATTCTAAGACGTACTATGTGTTACAATTTTCTAGACACTTCCCTTAAATCATAGGGACAGCTGATGATGTTTGTTTTGAATTTTCTTCAGTTTCTCGTACGACTTTCTCCATATTTGTTAAATGAAAGCAATCTATTGGCATAGTTTTTATTGAGCAGCGCCAGTGGTCTGTCAGACGTTCTCATAACGAGTTCAAAGTATTTAGTTCATTTCTGATAACTTTAAAAATTCCATTTTGTTCATCTGCAAGAGGTAACCGCAAAATTTAAGCCGCATTTTAGAAAGCCAGCAGACAAAAAAAATGTTCATAGAAACTTGTATAGCTCCGGTCAATATAGCGTTAATTAAATATTGTAAGTCTTAGATGCAAATGAAAGCGTTCTCCATTTTTGACATATTCTTTTATTTATGTGCTTGCTTTCACTTTAAGGGGGCAAACGGGATGAAGAATTAATTTTACCCATCAATGATTCCATAAGTATGACTTTAAGCACCGATGAGGTAAGCAATGTATTCGTATGTTAATTATACAGCTAAGCGATTATCTTTGCATTCAATTATTCAGATGTGTGCTAAGACAACAGCAGCAGCTTGTAGCACATTTAAAGAACATCGTATGTGGTTAAATGGTGAGGAGATTCCTTTTGAGGAAAATTCTCGCATTATGAGATGTTTAAAAGCGTGTAAGTTTTCTTATTGACATTCTATTACTTTGGAGATAGAACATTAACATGTTATTCTATGCTCTAGTACAATGCTTAGCTTTGGCTAAAGGCGCTCCTACGAAATTTCCACTTGAGTGGAAATTACATTTGACATCGCGCAATAATTTCCCAACAGCTGCTGGGTTAGCTTCCAGCGCGGCTGGCTATGCCTGCCTCGTATACACTTTGGCTTGCTTGTACGGCGTTGCAGATGAAGAATTAACGGCTATAGCGCGCTTAGGTAGTGGATCAGCTTGCCGCAGTTTGCATGGCGGTTTTGTACGCTGGCATATGGGTCATTTGGCAGATGGTTCCGATTCTTTAGCTTTACCGATAGCGTCCGCATCTCATTGGCCTAATATGAACGTTCTCATTTTGGTAGTAAGTGACAGCCGTAAAAAAACGAGTTCTACCAAAGGTATGCAGCGTACAGTTGAAACGTCGGATCTTATCCATTACAGAGCGAAACATTGTGTACCATCACGGATCAAAACTATCAGTGAGGCGATACGCCAAAGAGATTTTGAAGCGTTTGCCAAAATCACAATGCAAGATTCCAATCAATTTCATGCGACTGCCCTAGACACTTATCCACCTTGTGTTTACATGAATGATATTTCGCATTCTATAGCCGCATTTGTCCATGCCTACAACGCAGCAATAGGCAGTACTCGAGTAGCGTATACTTTTGATGCTGGTCCCAATGCATGTCTTTATGTACTTCAAGAGCATGTGTCATCATTGCTGCCGGCTATACAAATTTCCTTTCCTAATGATTCAGCCGACAATGTTGAGTACTATAAAGGCATAGCCAGTGATCAGCTGACGCAATCAGCCGCCGAGGCAACAGACATCAGTTTAAATGGCAACACCAGTTTACCTATTCATGAGCATAATCTTCTTAAATATATCATCCATACTAAAATTGGTGCGGGGCCAAAACGCTTAACTGGTAAAGAGGAACATCTTATTAACACCACAACTGGTCATCCATATTAATGCTTTTGATTAGAGGAGTTTCATGCTACGTACAAACTCAAATATAGTGTCCCTTTCGCTGCCTACCTCTTCGAGGATTAAAAGGGGAAATATTAAAGCAATTAATGACAATAATTAATGTTTATCGTAATTTTTTTTTTTTTTTTTAATAGAAACAATTTATAAAGCTTTATTTGCATTTGAGCAAACCTGGATATCCGCCACCTAAAGTAAAAAGATAAAATCCGGTTTCTTTGGGGTATATAAACGATTTTATTAGACTGATCTGGAAACATTATTGTATATAACTCTAACGTGGTTCGCAATTAATATTCACTCAAGTTCTATGGAACTACAAAAAATGCGAAATTTTTTAAAATTGATCTTTTCAACTAGATAAAGATATAAAAGAGAACTTTAGTTACATCTAATCCGAATCTCTGATGTACATTTTTTGAAATGTTGCGAATCGAACGATGACAATAATGTGCTCCTCGATGGTGGGTATAAAAGTCATCAAGTTGTAAATTTGTGTTAGTAATAGAAAAAATAAAATAATAATAATAACAATAATAATAATTAATCGGTTCAAAAAGCTTTGCTAAAAAATAAAATGATAATATTTTTATAAGACGATATCGTGTTTTCACTTTGTTGGAGAAGTTGAAGAATATCTTCCTTTAACGACGTAATAATAATGCATATGTATAAATTAAATATAGTAAAATGTAATTCATTTATCGTCTTTTCATCAGCTAAACAATTTTTCCACATTTTACATAACTTACCTAAAAGACATGGTAAGGAAATGGACCTGGTTAGTAGATAACTACATATATATCATAAATGGGTGTGTGCGCACATATGAAGTAATCTGTAAAATAGTTTCGTACTTCCGTCCAATATCTGGCGTTTGATATTAATACAAATGGGATAGCAATTTTGTTTTTAAACTTAACTTTGACTTTTCATCTTAGTCTTACGCATTTTATACATAAATTGAATTTTTACATTGCATACGCTCTTACTGTCGCATCGATATTTTACAGTAGTATACTAGTTATGTTATTATGTAAGATCTTAAATCGATTCGCCTGTATTCAGGACGCAAAGGAGCACCTGTAAGCTAATACTGCCTATAACGAAATTTCATAATCATTTCACGACATTGAATACTTTCTCCAGACAGCGCACCTATTTAGCGCCTGACTTCAGTTGTTGGTCGTGTGAAATTTTTCTTTTTGAACAAAAAACTTTCCCCCTTCCACTTTTTCCTAAAAAGCCATTGGACAACGGGATTACGCAAAATTATGATTAGAGAGAGTAGCAATTTAAAGTACATTGATTGATAGCGAACGCGTCTAATATTGTCAGCTATGCAGCGAAAATACAGGAACATCAAATCTTTTCTTGCGTAAGGGGCTAGGAAGTCTATGTTAATTATACTGCTAGCAATGAAAACAATTTCTTATAATATATATATATATATATATATATATAAAACAGAAGCATCAGTACCTGATAAGCAAAAAACAACATAATTGTATATAAGAATGTATATATATATATATTATATAAATATATGCATGTATATATACATATATAAATGAATATATACACATATAACATATTGTGTATATATAAGTATATATACTTATGAATGCATATATATATGTATGTATGTATGCCTTGACTAATCAACGCTCAATATAATATTGTTCTTCTGCTGTTATCGAACTGCTAATTACTTGATTTACTCGTGTACAAACTGTCTCCATTTTCAATCTACTAAGCAACGAAAACCATTTCGGGATCAATCAAAAATTAATTCTTGACCACTCAGACTCATCAATGACAGGTCACGTAATGCAACAAAAAAGCCCTACTACTACTAGATTGTTATGGTGCTCACTTTAGACATTTTTAATGGAGTTTAATTTGTTTATGTTGCGTCTATGCACAATTACGTACACTCTTACTTTAGTATATGCACTTCTATATATATATATATATATGCCCGCCATATAACTTAATAACTACTTTCTCGAAGATATCGAATTTTTTTAAAATGGGGAAAGTCCGGTGCGTGTAATTTTTAACAAAACTACACATAGACCAAAAACGATTTTGAACCTTTTGAATTCGACTTGATACCGAACGAATCGACACTGAAGAACTGGATCGTTCAAATTTTCATCTGTCAATCACATTTGAAACGAATCGGAATTGAGCCGCTTCTGAAGAGACAGACAATGAGCGATAAAATATGATCCAAGGCGATTGAAGCTGCATAAAGGCTAGCGAAGCAGATCTTCACACTGCCTAAAGTATTGAGCTGCATTTATTAAGCGACGCGTCATCTAGACACGAGAAAGCTAAGCTGGCAAGTTTTGCTGCATCCATCCTATAACTTATATTTTGATGCATTCGATAGCCATATGTTTCGCTCTCCGCACGACTTAATATTCTAAAGCTGATCTTTAAATAGGTCTGGGGAAATAACTTGGTTCACTGTTTCGCCTAAAAATTCCATAATGATTAAGAAATAAATTGTTCAATTTGATTGGAACTGTTAAATTTATTGACTTATTGAAAACATTTTAAGAAGAAGAAAAAGAAAAACAAGGACCTATGTTTCACTTTTCAATAGTTCTGAATCGTCTAGACAGTATATGAACAAAAACAAAAATTTTTTTTAAATTTATGTTCTTACTGAAAACATTTTAAGAAGAAGAAGAAGAAGAAAAACCAGAACTTATTTTTCACGTTTCAATATTTCCGAATCGTCTGGAGAGTATATGAACACAAAAGTAAAAGTCTTAAATAACTAAAATGAGAAACTTATTGCTGCAAAAGTTATCTGAGGAAGGTGATTGGAGTCAGGTATTTAAGCTTTTGGGCGTTAATCCGGATGGAGTCTTTCAATTGCGTGAAATTCAAGGTACAAAAATGATGAAAACGCAGATGAAAATAATTATTTCTTTCTCTTTTTGAATTCAAGCACCAGCCATGAATAGTAGTTGGATTGAATTTGGTTGGCTGCGTAAACACCTCGTTACTATGAGCATATTAGAAACTGTTTTGCATTTAATTTTAATTTGCGATCGGATTTTGTTTTTCGTATTTATATTTTATTTATTTTTATTTCTATATAAGTTATTATGTTATAAATTTCTCTGCTCGAGAACGGATCTCACAAATTGAAAACACCGAAAATTGCTATCGCGTCAATTTGAAATAACTAATCAATTGTGTAAATGCAGGATTGAGAGCGATTTCTTTTTTCGTAATTTTTAATATTAAATACGTGGTTGAATTGTCGAGAGAGGGAGAGAGAGAGAGAAAGAGATATTGAAATAAAAAACATGTACTTCATTTTGAAGGTTTTCACTAAGTGCATCCGGGTGTACAGTTTACTTCCTAAATAACGATTTAAACATTATTTAGTGCTGTCTGATTATCAGGTTAGAGCTTATCTCAGTAGCACGATAGCATCATCGAGACGATGGTTTATTCCCATTTTTTTCACGGATTTTATTTTATTATTACTTGCTTACGTTTTTATATTGTGTGTAGATATCTAAGAGAAAGCATTGCCGTATTTTTCGGACTATAAGACGATAAGTGCTAAATGCAGCTGCACCTAGCGACTGCGCCGGACCTAATAAACTCTTGTACTAAATGTATTGCAGGGTATAAGGAAGAGATATTAAACAACCAATAGCGAAATTTACTATGAAGGAGCACTTACTTCTTACTTCTAATTTTCAAAATTGCATTAGTTACGCTACTTAACACTGAATTAATTAGTTATTTTAGCATTTTTATCAGCGGGCGTAAAATTAGTGCTTGTAATGTGCTTGTTCAGGTTTGAGTCACTTGTTATCAAATAACGTCTTCCGAAGCAGAAGTGGCAATTATTCAATATCAATTTTGCGCTAACACAAACATCTTAGTTTATAAACACCATAAATGGAGTTGTAAAAAAGGAAGCAGTAATCATTCAGCGCGAAATCTAAAAAAGATTAATTCGAATACTTCCAAGCAAGACTACATTTGCGGTGACGAACGAGTTCATGAACATTTTTTATTGTAATACATTACGTCAACTAAATCGATATGAAATTTTTTGATTCCATCCAAGACTTCTTTAAATATTTCAAACCCATCTACGGATTCATTGAAATATGTAACAAATGTGCGCGTATTGTGAGAAAGCTACAGCTGCGGACGCAGTCGCAATAGGAGTAGAAACAGAAATAGAAGGATACTCGTCTAGCCCTAGATTCTCGTGATAGAGGTGAACATAGATGACATTTTTTAGTTTCGCCGCACCAGAGTCTTAATTTCGGGTGTTCCCTTCCATACTCATCTATCGCTAACACACCAAGTTTCAAAAAATTATTAAAAATAGTTCCCATAAGCAGAATTTCGATTTGTTTAGTTTGTTTGAAAGGTATGCTCATATAAATTCATGCGATGTCCACATATATATATTTTACGTGTTACGTTGTTTAATATGGACGGAGCAGGCTTTCAAACCCAATTATATCTTATCATTTTAAATATTTAACAAAGCTCTGTTAAGTCGTTTACAGAGTTTTGTTAATAGATATGGAAGGGGTCTTTGCCAGTTAAATTCGAATTTATCTTCACACTATTTATTCTTGTAATATTTTATTAAGTTTTCTTAGTTTGGTTGCTTGACATAATTTTTCAAAAACTCGTTATTCATATTTGTTTCTTTTTTTTTTGTATTAATAGTTAAATTATTATGTGTTTTAATTAATAATATTAAAGCGTTAATTATTTTTAACTTAAACACTATAAAAATTACATCCGATCGGCCGAATATTTTTTTTTTTTAATGCCTACTATCTGCGCTGCGATGATTTATTAAATTTTACAAAATCACATAAAACACAACATTCACGTTATTATAGTTTTAACGATAATCTAGGAAAGAGATAATGGGTAGGCATGGTTATATATGCTTAACAAAACAACTATGTACAGGTAAAAAACATTATTTTTCTTTTATTCCTTTCTTATTTTTCTTTATTTTTTGGTTTTAATATATCATAATATTCAAAGATAGAAGATAACTGCAATCTAGCATCTTCTATGATCGAATAAATGAATTTTCTTTATGTATGATTTTAGTACGAATTCATTTACGATAAACTTTCGAACGGACTATAATTTATGGAAACTTTCAACACCTTCCTCCCGAATGCCTTACCCATCGACATAGGTTACTTTGGGAAGCTAACATCAAAAAATAGATGAAAATGTAATTAAGATAATATGCTTAAAGAAAGAAGCTTAAAGAAAAAGAAGAAGAAGTTTAAACACGGAGATAACAGAATAATTTATTTTTCAATAATATATACACGTAATGTAAATAAATATTAACATAATTTAAAAGAGCAAAAAAAAAAAAAAAACAATTAATTTTTTCTTTTTTTAATTCTATAGAGACTTAGGATACATATTATAATGGAAATTTTTACACTACGTACTGAAGTTTTCATAATATGTCCGTTTTTTATCTACATAGAAATACACATGTATTTATATATGTATATATAAATACACTTATATACATACATAAATACATTTATATACATACGCAAGATTTCTTTAGAGTTTTTAATGAACTATATATAATTTTTTTTTGCGTATAACTTTTTATGAGATCCACAAGTTACACAATATGTTGGATCAATTTCAAAAAAATTTTCCTCAAATCTCTATCGCTTTAAATATGGCATTAAGAGTACAATTAATTGCTGCCAATCAGATAAATTGATGTAAGTGAAAAATCAAACGTTCATTTCGGCATACATTGCCAATGCTATTGATGGTCATTTTCTTTTTTTGGACAATGCGTAGCGTTGGTACTCATCGACATTTAACAATCGTGCAATATACGTGTATAGCAATAGTTCTTTCAATTTTACTTGGAATTTTATTATAATACTTCTATTTGAAAGTCAATTTCTCATCTGCTAAAGCATTTTCTATGCAATTTATGCAAAAAAAAAAAAGGATTCAATTATTGCTGGTATAGACAGCCCGTGAAAAAACGGAGTTTTCGCACGGTTAAGAAGATAAAACGCTGCACCGCTCCAACAGCTCATATCGGAGGAGGATTGGAAAAAGCGCTGGCACACGTGTACTATACCTAAGGGCGATTACTTTGAAGTGGACAAAATTGATGAATTGATTCATCAATCAATAAATAAATATTTTCGAGGAAGGAAGTCATCTTTTTTTTTGTTCTGAATACTCGCCTCGTATGTGCATATAATTATGGATAGGATTTTTCAAAAAAGTATTTCTTCACAATTCAATCTGTAAGAAGGCGGAAGTCCAACAAGTTTACGTGCAGGAAAATATAACGAACGAATTTCTTATCAGAAAGTCAACATATAAAATTCAATTCGTTAAATGCATGTTCAGAAATGTCAACTTTACTAGGATGACAATGACCTTAGCACGAATACTGCGAATTTAGATCTTGAAATCAGTAAAAAATTCTCGACAAATTTCCAGATGCTAAGTGAATTATGTCTATTGAGCAGCGTATTTTAACATAGTCTCATTGATACTTGTCGACCTTAGTGAATGTGCGCTAATCGCTCTTCTTCCCATACTCGTGGAATCAACATATCATGAAAAACCAGATCTAAGTATTTCCAAGTCAGAAAGTGTTAAAAAAAACCCATCTATTTAAAGAACAGTAAATTTAGCAAGGGCTTTGAATGGATCAGAGATGGTAACACCATTTATTCATATCCTACGCTAAGCTTCCACTTGTCAGCCAATAGTTCGATCGAAAAAAATCTATTTTAAGCTAACCTAACCAAAATCAAAATCTTGCATGCATTTGACTGCTTGGTAAAATATAGGACGAAACGATGCCGGCCACACAATATAATTGTATATGTAGAATTCAAGTATTTTTTTTTCTTTGATGGAATTTATAAGATCGATTAAAAACAGCAACGTCAGGCATATAGGGAATATATCTTGTCTACGTGAGAGCAACGCTTCATTGTTAATACTTTTCCTCTTTGGAAATTGTGTAATTAACAAGTCCATATAGAACATGGCATGATTTCGCTGATTTCATACACATATTACATTGTAATTTTATTCACTTACTATTTATTGTTCGATTTATTTTATTGTGATGTTATTTATGTTTACATCTTCACATTCGACATCGACTTGTGTTCTGAGTAGTGCGTGTTTTGTTTTTCGTTTGCGATTTTTTAATTGTTCTCGGTGTTTTTCGGTGTTTTTGTGTGTTTAACTCGTGTGTTCTCTGTACTTTTGCAAAATCTGATTGTCGTAGATACGAAATTTGCTTTCTTTTTCTGCAAATATAATAAAAAAAATCAAAAACAAAAAACATAAAAGAAAAATAAAATATTGAAAACAATTGTCACTATCCTCAGCAGTTCCCAAACCTTTTCAAGTGAGTGGTTATTTCCCAATTTATTAAATAAGAGACAACTATAAGGCATAATGGCCCCGGGGCCGCCTGATAAAAACTCAAACAGATTTCATCTATTAGCAGACGTATCCCCTCAAAGAAAAAAAATTAAAAATGCCGAATTTCCGGTGTTGCCAACCAGTAGCATCGTTCCTATCGACAAAAAATATGTTGTGATTTCTCCAACTGATCCCTGCAGAACAATTACGTAATTCAGCCCTTTCGCTATTAAAAAAGCACTAGATTGCATTACAACGTATACAGACTCTATATCGATTTTACGCGATGGAAATGTACTTGTCCTGGCCGGGCAACCGAGCGCAACCGAAAAGCTCATAAAGTCTAAATCATTAGCCAATTTGTGCGCTACATTCGCTAAACTGCATGACAAACTGAACTCGGTGAAAGGCGTAGTTTATGCCCCATGCTTAAAGCATGTGCCGGAAGATGAAATTGTGCGCGAAATGGGCAGTCAAGGAGTGACTGAAGTCTACAAATTCACCAAATTAAATGACGATGGAAAAACCCGCTCTCCTACAGGAAGAATTATTTTGACTTTTGACCGCTATCGGCTAATGACAACGGTTGATGTAGCTTGGTACAAATGTAAAGTAGAACTCTACATTCCAAATCCCATGAGGTGTAAAAACTGCCAACGCCTGGGCCATGCGGCAAAAAGATGCACCAGTCCTCCATCCTGTGCTAACTGTGGTCTTCCTCCACATCCTGAAAACTGTACGCGTAGCTTCTGCTTAAATTGCAACGATCAACACTCTGCGTTAGACAAACAATGCCCACGTTTTATACAAATGCGTGAAATTCTAAAAATCAAAACAGAAAATTACTGTAGCATGGGTGAAGCGCGACGCAAATACCGGGAAATTAATCTATCTGGAAGCCAAAGAATTAGCAAAAGCAATACCTACGCTGTTGTCGCCTCGCAAATAGTGCCTAATAAGCCTTTAACTCCAACTCCTTCCAATGAAACACCTGTTCTATCATCATCCAAAAATTACATTGCCAAACCAGTTCCATTGCCCGCCAAAGATATTATTGAAAAAATCAAAACAACACCAAATATTGAAAAAATGAAAACAACAACACATATGCCAAAATCTAATAATCTAAATCCCCCAGAATCACCAGTTCTCAACTCTACTCAACAAATTACAAGCTGTAATGAATCCAATCTTCCATCCCTCAATCAACCTTCAATTTCAAATCATTCACGTGTGCCCACTCGTTGCACTTCAAACTTACGCAAACACCTAAGTACAGATTATTCTGCTGGTAAGAACAAATTATTCACGCAAAATTCTTATAGTGACATTTACGACGGAGACGTTGACATGTCAACTTAACCTACTTTCCACTCCATGTCACTACAATTAAATAAAGTTTTTAAAATTCTACAGTGGAACATTAAGGGACTTCTTAATAATTTTGATAAACTCCATACACTCGTAAGTGATTTCAGTCCAACCTTTATATCGCTTCAAGAGACCCATTGTAGAACCTCTTTTAATCCTATTCCACCCAAATCATATACTGGCTACTTCACAAATGCTGATCAAAATTTATATTCCAAACAAGGAGTTGGTGTTTTTATAAAATCAAGTATACCTCACAAACGCATAAATTTAAACTCAAATACACAGTCCGTAGCGATACAAATTATGTTAAACATAAAATTTACAGTGCTTTCGCTCTATTTTCCACCTTTGCAATCGTTTTCTCAGGAAGAACTCTACAATTTATTCTCCGCACTTTCCCCCCCATTAATTATATGCGGCGACTTCAACAGCTGGAATACCATATGGGGCTCAACAGTGAACAACACTCGTGGCACTGTTTTAGAAAAGGCCTTCATTCAAAGCA